ATTCTCCGAGGAAAAGCAAACAACTGAGCTACGAAGAATCTCCTTAATTTGAAGAATCAGGGACTTCAAAAATATCAAAAGCACATACAAGAGAATAGTCCACCTGAACCGGAAAACGATCAATCTAGACGAATAAAACAAAGATTCGAAAGAAACAAGACTTGTAAGGAGTTGCAAATAGGAAAAAACAAAATGCAGGTAGCAAAAGGAGTTCTCTAACAAGCTAAAACATAACCAGATTACTAAAGTGCACTCTTCAAGTGTAATCCGGAATAAATGGGAGAAACAAGACCAAATCATCTGCTTAACATATATGAGACGTAAAAAAATGAATCTTGGGTCTAACTCAATACCAAAAGCTCAAAGAATGATTGCCGAAGTCCATATAAGGAGTCCAAAGTCATCACATCTCCCTGATGTGAGACTTAACACTAGACACTAATAACATAATCCACCTATGCAACTAAGATAAAAACAATCATCTTTAAAGATTTTTCTTTTTATAACCATGGTATACGAGCCAGCTTGCGCACCTCGACTAATTCCCCAAGGTACCAACTACCTCTCACTAGCACAAGTACCGGGGTAACTCTGTAAAGCAAAAGACCACTCTTTTACTTTTATTTTTCCTCATAATAAAAGATTGGAGTACAACAAATCGCTAACGAAAACAAGCAACTTCCTCTCAGATAACCTATTTGTTAACTTCTATCATCAACAAATTGAAGTAAAAGAGTACATTTTGATACATTCTACATATTTCTTAAACTACGTGTCAAGTCAAAACTTCTTTAATTCCAACTTTATACATGATATGTTTAACACCACAAGATTGAACTACGTTCCGATACATTCTACATATCTTAAGTTTAAGACCACGCAATTCAAAAATCTTAATTTCTTAAACTCCATGCGAAGTCAAAACCAGACAAACAAATTGAAACCGAGAGAGTAAAACAAACACATATGAACTAAACATGCAATAATCAAATTTTATCTCCTAACAGATCTCCAGCTATGCAAGGATATACAAAAAAAAATAAAATTGATTCCTTCAAGTTTTACAGGGCACCAGAATCAAGATATCAAGATTTAATTTTTATAGCATACAAAAAAACAATAATGTTTAAAAACACTACTTTATAATAGAAAAGGGGCTTACACTCATTTCACGGTTCGAACTCATGACCTGACAAACTTTAAGTTGCTCCAAAGCTTCACCTTCACTATTATTAACATTAATTAAGAGCAAATTAGGACACAAATGCAACTAATTAGTTAAAAATTAAGAAAAAATGGAACTTAAATTTGATAAAAAAAATCTTGGTAAAAGGGGTTTTTGCAGGTTAAGTAGAGCTCAACCTGAAGAAGAAATCTATGGAGTTAATTGAAATTGGGCTTTTTCGGGTCAAAATTTGAGTCCGTTTTTTGTTCATTGGTATGGGCTTTTGAATTGGGCCCCCAATATCTCTCTTTTGGCCCTTTTGATTTTGAGGTACCTTCCATATTATATTGGTTTTATAATGTATATATATATATATATGGCTGAACCCATCGGTGGCCCCCTAAAATTGGCACCAACTTTCACTTAGACACCTTAACTAAGCTTTGTTCATTTTAGACACCTCATGTCATGTCCCGCTGTGTCATTTTGACACTTTTTACTGAATTGACAAAGTGTGTATGTAGCACTGATTTTAAGCGCGTAGAAAGCATAAGAGTTAGCTCGAAGATACTTCCTAAACGGGCTAGTAATTACAGCAAGATTACCAAACTGGGCTAACTTATTACACATAGATGGCCTAATTAGTTTAATAGAGATGTCTTTATTATTGTCTTTAGCAAGCTAGTCTTTGATATGTCCTGGGGAAGATTACAAAAGGATAACCTTGTTATAGGTTGTTAGCTTCAATCCTTGCTTAGCTAGTATATTTGCTACGTAGTTATCCTGCCTGAAGTTATGTTCAACTAGTGGATTCTGCAAAGTCTTTAACAGTGATTTGCATTCAAGGTTAATAGATTCATAAGGGGAAAGAAAATTGTGTGTGTGTGTTGGGGGTGGGGGGGGGGGGATGAAAGAGAGAAATATTATTAGGTTTCTTAAAGATGAAATCAAACTAAACCGAACCAATAACAATTAAATCAATTAAAAAATAATTAAATTTCTTTGATTTTGATTTTAACCAAAAACCGATCTAAAACATTTTTACCAAGATCTCCACATTTAAATATAAGAACTACCGGTCAATCTTATATAAAAACCAAAATAATCGAAATTAAATATTTTAAAAAAAGAAACATCACCAATTGATTATAAGAAAAAAATACAAACAAATATATATTTGCTTCTCTAGGAAAAAAATAAGAACTACTTTCACAATGCTCCATTATTCTTGGTCATAAATAGCCAAAATATCTTTTATATTACAACTAATATTCAACTTAGAATTAGTTCCCTAATATCATTGACTCAACCCATTTTAATTCATTTTTTGTCATTTTATTGTTATTTTACGTACTAAACCTATGCAATATAAATAGTGGTTTAAAACTTGGAAGCTCTTTTTATTATTCTTATATTGCTCTCTTCTAGTAGTTGGTTTCAAATTAATGAAACCTAATATTCCTTATTTTTTCTCCTAAAATTTCATTTGTTTTTCCATATACAAAATTTTCAATTTTATTTTACAATTAGTATTTCTCTCTGAAAATATGGCAATGGCAGCGATTTTCCCGGGTGAGTCAAATAATTTAATTAATTTCTAGAATTATTTTTCTTATTTGTCTCTAAATAGTCTGTAGCTAATAGATTTTTGTTGATTATCCACCGTTAGATCAAATTAACAATGAATCTTGATGCTGATCGATAGAAATTTTGTGGCTAATCTTGTTTAATCTTAGAGCTAGTAAAATGGTATTAATTAGAAACAAAATTTTCATGTCTTTATTTTCATATATTTTTGGAACTCTAGATAATACATATATTCTCTCATGTACATATAGTTCTATATTATTATGTGTTTGTTGACAACATATTTTATTTTAATTTCTTCAAGCTATACATTTTTTTTAAAATGCTTGGCTGGTAATTTTTTTTTTCTTTTATTACCTTTTTTGTAAAAGTAGTAGTTAAATCAATTAGTTAAACGCATATGTTAGCTACCTAAATGTCGACTTGTAGTTTTGACTAGTTATATCATATATGAATTATGATCATATTATATATGTACTAAAAAATGTAGTGCATGCTACACATAATTATATTTAATTTCAGACCATTAGGTGTTTTCTATTTCTTTCTATATATAAATGGTATAATTTATTTTATTTTTATTTTTATTATTATTATTATTATATATAGTAATTACACTATCTCAAAAATGATCTTTAGCGGCAATTAATTAACGGCAATAGCTTAATTGCCACTAAAAATGTATTTTTAAGCTGCATTTAGCACTCTTTATAAATGTCCCTAAAGCCTATAGCGACACTGAATCCAATGGTCGGCATTTAACTAATGCCGGTAAAGGCTTTATTGCTCTTTGTTAATATGTATATTTATTGCCGCTAAAAGTTATTTTTTTTAGTGTTAGAACATGTCTCGCTAAGTCGCTATGATTACAATAATAATTACGTCTTAGTCCAAAATAAGGGGGAGTCGGATATATATTCTTACTACTAACCATATAGTTACTCCATATAAATTATTTCAATTCAATATTATAATCATTCCCGCTATTTATTTATTTTTATTTTTAAAAAAGATAACATTTGCAGAAGAAGTGTCACTCGTTCAATAAAAATAATATTTATCCGTTTGATAAAAAATATTTACAAACTAAAAAAAAATAATCAATTTTTTTGACAAATTAGCTCGTTGGAAACGTTCCTCGTGAACCTTCTTTTTTTTTTCTAGAAAATCCCACATTTCTATTAATAATATCCATCGGAAAATCATGTTTTCTATAATAATTAAAAAAAATAGCAGACAGATATATAAACAATATTATATTGTAGGTGTATAGTCAACTATTAATATTTCTGAGCGACCAACTATATAACTTTTCCGTTTTAAAATTTGAAATTTTATAAATTCAAAATCTTAGTTTTGCCTTTGAGTTAAAGAATTATTATTGACTCTAAAATTGCACAAGAAATTATGAATGCATATTATGTAGAGTTAGTTACCTACCAATCACATGTGCAGTATATTAAATAAATAAAAAAAGACTGGTAGTTGTGAATATTTGGTCGAAATGTAGTATTTTCATGTTGTTATCAAACATAATGGAAGATGTAACCAAATGCTTGACAATTGAAGAAATAGTTAGATTGGTCGAAAACACATCTAAAATATTTTAATTTTTGAGTTTTATATTTGAATTATCAGGTGTATGAGTTTTTTACGTAAATTATTACTAAATATTTATCAAAACACACCTTGACGATCGATCAGTTATTCACTTTTGCTATCATATATTAATCGATCAACAATTAGCATAGTGAAGAATTATTAGCAGATAAATTAGGAATTACTTTATTGTCCGGCAATTATTAGATATATAGTCCTATAATCTATGCATGAGCTATTGGTCCATTGTGACTCCTTAAATTTAAAATATCGAGTTGATTTAGTCTAATTTCGTTTCGAAAATCAATCAGATACATTTTTAAAATGAAAAAATATGACGATTAATTTAGAATGGAGGGAGTAATTATTAATATTATAAAATATATAACTTATAGTAAGTCCATATGTGCATCCCTCACACACATACATATTGTATAACAATATCAGTAAGATTGATCATCACTTATAAATCACATTAAAAATTTAAGACAATATAGTGTATCTAGAAAATCACCAAGAGAAGAAAAATTGTATTGACTTACAAATATCAATATAAGAATCCATTTTTTTTATATATATACAAACATGTGAAGATAATTAATTAACAAGGCATATATATATATATATATATAAAAATCAAACACTTTCATTATTCATCCATTCTCTTGAGATTATTTTGATCATATGAAGGTGTAGATGAAGCCATAAAAAGATCAAAATCTTGCAATGTACCATTGATTTGTTGATTTTGGCAATTCATGAACATGTCTTCATTGATCAAAGAATTCAAGAAGGAGGAGAAGACATCGTCTGCGCAACAATTCATTTCATCATCTCCTTCATCATGAACCACAATATTCATATCATCATCGCGATAATTGGCAAGCATCACATTACTGCTCTGATACTGATAATCATCATCAGGACTCGTAATTTCTCCAGGACAGTTATTATTGTTGATGCTACTTCCTAAGGGTTCTTTCATTTGGAAATTAGGATTGTAAATGGGGTTTGGAGTATTAATTGTGTTGAGATCATAATCATTTGCTAGTTTTGAGGTTGAAGAAGGAGAAGAAGAATTAGCTTTGTTTGTAATAATATGATTATCATCACTAGAGGAATTAGGGTTGTTAAATATTAATGGTTTGTGTGTTCTTGGATCTATTCCTTGGCTAATTAATTTCTTGCTAAGGTGAGTATTCCAATAATTTTTTATCTCGTTATCTGTTCTTCCTGGAATTCTCCCTGCTATCAATGACCACCTAAAAAAATTTCCGATTAAAAAAATGAGTTTAAATTTTGTGCAATATTAATATACATATAACTTTCTTACACCATCAAGCTAAGTTACAATGACAGATAAACCTTCATAGCATATATAATATGGTAACATTAAAAAATACAATAACAACAAGAAAAAATAACACCTAATTAAGGAACAAAACAGACCAGATGGTAGAGTGTAAAAAATAAATATATAACTAAAGTTGATATTATTAATCACCAAAATGAATCCTTTAGTTAGCTCCTTAATTAAAGATTTCAAGTTCGAATCTGGGAAATAAATCTACTGTTGGCGAGTGTTTTAACTCTGAAAGTCAATAACATAGCTACATCGCTTGGAAGGTGGCCGGTCAGTTGAACTCTTTTATCGAAAAATATATATTAAAAATTACTTTTATAAATATAAACATATACTAAATCTTAAACAATTCTTAGTGAAGTTCTTGATTTCTCCCCCAAAATGATACCTTTCAGCGCGAATACAAATTTAATCAAGCCCCACTATAATATCAAACACCGAGTATGAAACAAAATATATAGGTCACAACAAAGGATAAAAAAAAACCCTAATTAATAACAAGCAGATTTAAAGATGGCCGGTTGAACATATACAAAAAAAACAACAATATAGAGAGAAAAAAATACATACATAGAAATATGTGAAAAATTACTTTTGAACAATTCTTAGTGAAGTTCCTAATTTCTCCCCAAAATGACATTTCAGGCAATATAAAGTATCGAACACCAGATGTGAAACAAAATACATAGGTAAGCGCACAGGATAAAGGAAACCCTAGTGGAATAACTAGCAAATCTTAACAAAAAAAAAATCAAGATAAGGGTTTTCATTTTCATTTCTTGTTCTTTTTATTTTTAACAAACAATTATAAGCCCTAAAATGATGATATATATATTGAAGAATTGAAATTAATTTAGAAGGACCTGTTCCCTAGGAGGCGATGGAGGCGGAGGATGAGATCTTCCTCCTCCGGCGAAATATGTCCGCGTTTAACGGAAGGGCGGAGGTAGTTCATCCAACGAAGGCGACAACTCTTCCCACAACGGAAGAGTCCCGCCTTCTTTGGGAGTGTACGCCACCGCCCTTCCCCTTCTTTACTGACGTAATTCGTCAGTAATTCGTCTTCTTCTAGTGTCCATGGACCCCTTTTTAACCCTATTTTTGTACAACATGGTGTTACAACTTTGTTTCTTGACGATGATAATGATGATGATGATGGTGTTCTCATATTTTTTTTGTTGTTGAAAAAAATGGAGATAATGGATTGTTGAGTTTTTGGTTTGCATGTTAATTAATTAAAGTTGGGTGAGAGTAATAATGTCTAAGTTACTCAATTTGGGAGGGGTGGAAATGGAGTGTGTTTTGTTACGTATGTTGCATTTGGAACAAGTTTTGGTTTTAATTTAGTGAAATTTTTAATTATTTTTTAATAAGCGTACGCGTCTTGAGTAATTTTACAAAGTATATATTATATATCTTTAATCAGTATAAGTGTCGAGTAATTCTATCCATCTAAGGTATAGATGGATTGGATGAGAAGAATTCATATAGAGCTTTTTGTTTTTTAATTGGATTTGAATGTGAGATCTCGTAATTTTTAATTTACTTCATTGACTATGTTTTATCTTCATTGATTTGGTTTAAATTATACTCTCTTCGTCTACTTTTAATTGTCATATTGCGATTTTCGAAAGTTAATTTAACTAATTTTCAAAGTTAAATTAGATTACATTAATTCGATATTTTAAACAAAAAAATTTAGATATTCAAAAACTATAAGAAAAGTACTATAATTTGCAATTTTTTGCATATCAATATGATAAAAAAATACATCGTAAAATGTTAGTCAAAGTTCCTATAGTTTGTCTCTAAAAAAGAAAACCATGACAATTAAATATTCACATTCGATATTTAATTGCATTAAAATAAGCAATAGTTTGAGGTAAAAGAAGTTAATTGGGATTGTCTATATCTTCCTTAAAATATTAAGGTACGGAGATTTACTTGTTGTACGCCAATTTTATTTTATTTTCGATATCTATTTTGTGGTTCGATTAATCTTAATCGATCCACGCCTACATGCCCCATTATATGAGGGTAAAGTGTCGTCTATCAAAGAAAACTATTCCCGGAGTTCAAATCTAAGATCTCTGATTAATAATAGAGGAAACTTATGTATGCGCTTGTATGTCAACTTAATTTGATAGTATAAAAATTATTTACTTTATCAATACATATACCGAACATAAAGTCAATTTTTATTTGTATTATCCAAAAACAGCTCACGTACAAATTAATATTGATGGAAGTTGCACTTGGTTTTCTTCATATAATGTTATGTTATGACCAAAAATAGAAGACTTCATTAGATGCATTATTTACCGCTTTTAGATAAATGGTAACGATATTACACATATGAATGGGGCTTACGAATTGATTTTACTTGGAAATGAAATATACAAGCAAAAAATAATTTAATTATTTAATAAATCTAATTATTTGGTAGGAATTTAAGTATTGATATAGCATATGAAATGTTGAATTTGATCAATAACCATAATTTAATAATATTAATACTCACAAAGTACATTTAGTAATTTGAATATATTTTTTTATATGTTGATTATATTTAACGTAAAAATGATAAAGCTAATTAATATATGTAACACATTCATGTAACAAATTGTTGTGGTGGAATGATATCTTATTCCTCCATTCTTAATTAGAGATTTCGCGTTAAAATCTGAAATGTCGTCGTCTTTAATAGGGAGCTTTACCCTTTCCACAAAGTGAGTTTTTTTATACGAATTTAAATTAGTCAAATCTCAAAACGAATAGCAGATATCAGAGGAGAACAAAACCAAAAAAAAAAAAGGTTATAGATCTTATAATCACAAAATTTAATACCTCAATTCATTTCATAGGGGGCTATAATTGAGAAGAAGTTGGGGTGTGGCAAGTGAAGAGGAGAGTGGAAGAAAAAAAAGGTTAGTGCAAAAATCGAGAACTTCATCCAGATGGCTAATTTGACAAAAAGATTGAACCATATCTCTCTCTCTCTCCAAACACACACACACACATATATATATATATATATATATATATATATTATTTTGTAGCGGCGGCAAATTTCTCAAGAAGTTTTAAATTGTGACAAAACGAGCAAAAAGGTAAATTATGACATTCTCATCATATTACTTTACATTGATTGAGTCAAAATATTAATGATAGAAATGATTTGGTGTAAATATTGAATGCGAACAAGTATTTAGCCTGATCCTGCGAAGAAATAGTAGAAATTATTAACTTGTTTGATCAAGGTTCTAAAATATTAAAATTTTAATTTGCTTGATTGGATATATATTTATTTAAATTGGTTCACTAAATAAATTAATAATTCACTTATTAAAGATTCATAGTACATTTAATTCTTGTTAAAATAGCAAACGTATAAAAGTAAATTTTGAGATATATATTTAATGGACGCAAAAAATAGATAAAGAATTTAATTACTCTATTTGTCACATAATTAATTTCAATCAAAAAACTCCACAGTAGGAATTACTCATTATCAAAGCAGCAAAGAATAGTGACATTTTGCCTACCCAAAATTACTTTGATTAATGGCATCACCAACCCAATATTGAATAGTTTTAAAAGAGGAAGAGAAAATAATTTTTTTTTTTATGATTTATCGCTAATCCGTCATTAAAGTAATAGTAGCTACAAAACTTGTTTATCACTAATTCTTGTTTATTTTTCAGAGTGATTATAAAAACAAAAAGTGATAAAAATAGACCAATGTGATAGAGTGATAAGTACTCCTTTCATTATTAATCACATGTCTCAATTCGAATCCTAAATATAGAGTTACCTGATTACCCCCACATAATATAAGACTTTTCTGAATTCGAATTTAATCAGGATCATAAATCTTCTAAGGTTTCTGCTTCCCTTTTTTTCTTGAATTATTCACATCTTTGGGTCCATTCTCTATGTAAATTTATGTAATTGTTTGACAACGATAAAATAAACTAATAGAAAGAAATAATAATAATTAGAAAAAAAAAACTGCAAAAATATGTATATAACTATATATTAACCGCAAATAGACAAATTAAATTAAAGTAAACCTCTATGGTCTCGAGAGAAAAAAAACTAAACCTAGTAGAAGTAGGAAGCTGTTATTCAAAATAATGTTTGAGGTTTTTTTGGTTTCTAATTTTTCAGTGTCCGGTCTTCGATACTCATATTAAGATTTGACTAAATACAAGTCGAATTCGAAAAGTCCCATGTTATTTATTAAATACTTCCATATCCAAAACTAAGTAAGAAGTCTTAATATTTAGCACTTTAAAATCAGATTACAATTAATTTTACTTACTAATCATATCCTTACTCGAATATGTAACATAAAATTGTATAATTCCTTCCATATTAATATCGTGTAATTTTCTCTTTATTTATTCATAGTAAGTCGATTTTAAAATTCAAATATATCATATCATTCACATAAATTAAAATAAAAGAAATATTTGTATCAAACCTGAACATTGTAGCTCCGCATTGGGTTTACTATATTGGGCTTTAAATTCATATTTTATTTCCTTTTAACATAACAAAACATTATTATAAAAAAAAAAAAAAAAAAAAAAGCCTTTTTGGAATTCAAGTTCTATTAGGGTTTCTACTTCTTAAGCGCTAGGGTTTTATTATATATATTTATCTCTTTCTCTTAATCTATACTTCCATCATCAATTTTATTTTCTTCTTCTAATAATAATTATGGATTCTGATCATGAAATTTACGATATGTATTCTGATGATGAAGAGGAGGAAGATTCCACCAATATTGATGAATCCAATACAGTTTTTTACAAACAAAAAAATTACAAAATTTTGAAGGATTTCGATATTCGTCAACTCATAAAAGAAGATATATCGAAAATTTCAACGATCTTATCCGTCCCACGAGACGTTTCGTTAGCACTCCTACGTCGTTATAATTGGAAGGTTGATCGAGCTAACGAAGAGTGGTTTGCTAACGAACAAGAAGTTCGTAAGTCTATAGGTATGTTTTTATGTGACAACAATAATAACTATGTTTCAGTATCGAAAAAATCGAAAAGTAATGATGCTTTTGTGAATTGTGGTATATGTTTTGAGGAATATGATGATGTGGTTTATGCTACGTGTAATAAACATCCTTTTTGTAAGGTATGTTGGGAAGGTTATATTAGTGCATCGATTAATGATGGTGGTCCTAATAAATGTCTTGCTTTACGTTGTCCCGATCCATCGTGTGAAGCTATGGTAGGTGAAAGTATGGTTGTTGAATTAGCATCGGAGACAGATAAATTGAAGTATTATGATTATTTATTTCGATCTTATATCGAGGAAAACAAGAAGATTAAGTGGTGTCCTTATCCTGGATGTGAATGTGTCGTTGAATTTGAGATAGGGAGCGATGATTATAGTGTGATTTGTGATTGTTCTAATGGTTTTTGTTGGAATTGTTTAGAGGAGACTCATCGTCCGATTGATTGCGATACGATAGCTAAGTGGAAGGATATAAATCAAGAAGAATCCGCAAATACAAATTGGATTATGGCTTTTACTAAAAAATGTCCAATGTGTGATAAATCAATTGAGAAAAATATGGGATGTATGCATATGACATGTAGATGTGGATATCAATTTTGTTGGTTATGTTTTAAGAAATGGGGTGTTTGTGCTAGTCGATGTAATCGATACGAGGAGAAAAAAGAAGTAACAGAAGCGAAGAAGAATATTCAAAGGTATACACATTATTACGAGAGATGGTTATCGAATGGAAAGTCGAAAGAAAAGGCTTTAAATGATTTGAAAAGAATGAAAGATGAAGGGTTGAAAAAATTAAGTGATGATAATTCTATACTTGAGAAAGAATTAGAATTTATTATTGAAGCTTGGGAACAAATTGTTGAATGTAGGAGGGTTTTGAAATGGACATATGCTTATGGATTTTATTTACCTAAAGAAGAGGTGGCGAAAACAAGATTTTTCGAATATTTACAAGGGGAAGCAGAGGCAGGTCTAGAGCGGCTTCATCATTGCGCGGAGAAAGAATTGATGGAACATTTAGGGTCAAGTAATGAGATGGATTATACTGATGAAAGATCTTATAAGGAATTCACGAATTTTCGATCGAGAGTTGTTGGGCTGACTAAAGTTACTGGAAATTATTTTGAAAAATTGGTCATGGAATTAGAAAATGGACTACAAGATGTGACTAATTCAACAAAAAAAATTGAACAACCAATGAGTTCTAGTAATACTAGCAATAATATGTGGATGTGTGATAGGTGCACTTTTTTGAATGAAGATATTCATACAGTTTGTCAAATGTGCATCGAAGATTGAAGCAGGTTTAATTTATTAATTTTGAACTTTTTTTTTTTAATTATGGTTTTGTATTGAGAATTATTATAGATTTTAATTAAGTTGAAGTTGGATTTATTTGAATTTGTTGTGGTGCCTAGAGTTTGCTTTTGTTTACTTTCATTTGTTTTTAGTTTTGATGTTTTATGTCAAATTTATGTCTCATTGAAATTTCTTGAATTGAGAGTTATCGGAAGTAACTTTTCTGTCTCATAAGGTAGAGGTAAGTTTTGTATATACGCTATTGTCGTTAAACTTCCCTTGTGTAAAGATTTCTTTAGGCCGGACGGAGATTGACTCACTTGTGTATTGTATATGTACAAATTGTTAAAAATTAAGAAGATACTATTTGCGTGCGTTGAAGCTAATAAAGTATATACAATTTTATAAATCAATATAATAACCTTGAAAAATAGATATTTAACGAAGTTATTGTAGTAGAAATAGTAATTACAAGAACAAATTACATACTAAAGATTATGGTGGATGAGTAATAAGCATTTTCTGTTCTTCGTTTGAGATCTCGAATTCAAGTCTTAAAAATATAATCTTTTTTGATAGAGAATATTTTACATCATAGTGAAACTTCTGGAGATATCGATATTTTTACTTGTGAGTAAATAAGAGAGATAGAAAATTGCATTCACGTGACATAAGGGCTAAGATATAAATCGCATTTGAGAATTGCGATTTATGAAGAATGTGTTTTATGAATCTCTCTTATACTTTTCTTTGATATTATTTATTTTTCATTTTCTTTACTTGTGATTTTAAGTATTCATTAGATTCTTTTTTCTTTAAAATGTTTAAGTAGTATCATGACATTATTTTATATTTATAAATATTAATCTTTTTATCAAATATTCAGTTCATAATGTTCCTACAAAATGAAATTTAAGAAAGTTTTTTTTTTTAATCTTATGGTCTTAAATTGAAGATATGTCAAATGTAGTAAAATGTCTTTTAATCTTTTAATTTTATACGTGTTAGGTGAAAAGTTGGAATTATACCGTTGTTAAAAAGAAAAAAGGATCATTCTTTTTTTAAACGGACTTAAAAAAAATAGGTTAAACAAATTAAAATGGGGAATTGTAGTTTTTTTTTTAAAAAATATTAATTAAAAACATATATTTATTAATTAATATATTTCGATGAGACAATATGTATCTTAATTACTAGACTAATGTCATTTATATTTTATTTTTTGATAATTAGTTTTTTAATCTAACTAATGTAATTACCTTTGTCATTGTAGTATTCTATTGTGTAATTACTCCATTTGTCACAATTTATGTGGTATTTTCATTTTTCGAGAGTCAAACAATTTATGTTTAATTGGAAATTTGCGTGTGAAATCGTCAATTTTTTTTAAATGAAATTTATATATTTGTAAACTACGCAAAAAGAACTATAAGTCACAATAATTGACAACTCAAAATAATTAAAACATATATAAAAAAGGGAACTTTCGCATATAGTCACTCAGAAATAGCTTAATTACGCTCCATAACTATAGTTTGCTAATTACGATTCGTAGCTATATGTTATAGGGAGGAGAGTGGCGAGCAAGATTGGGAGAGGGAGGAGAGAAGCGAGCGAGAGAGGGCAAAATATGGGAGAGAGGTGAATTCGGTTAAATAATTGTATTTTATACATATGTATTTGTATATTTGACGAGCAATATTGGGAGAGGGAGGAAAGAGGCGAGCGAGATTGGGAGAGGGATGGGAGAAGCGAGTGAGAGAGGCCAATAATTTGTATATTCGCATCTCGTTTGTATAATTCGAAAGTACGTTTGTATAATTTATGTGTTTTTGTATAATTGAATAATATAAAGTCTGGAATTATACAAATATGATAAAACTCAAATAACTAATTGATACAAACATAAACATATGAACTTTAAACAATTATACAAATTACATTATATAAATTATATTATACAAAATCTGAAAATTATACGTTTATACAAACTTTAAAAAGTTATACACAAAAAGATTGAATGTATATGGTGAACAAAACTGAAAAATCAAAGAAAATCATCGTCATATACAAATACAAACTATCATATACAAATACAACTCAAACGAAGAATTGTTAGTTGCGAATCATAAAAACATGGCTAATTATACAAATTCAAAATTAGCCCACATAATTAATGATTAATGTTAGTTTCGAGTGTTAATTATAATAAACTATACCTGTGATTTCAATGATCGAGTACTAAGTTGTCTAATTATCCGACCACATCCCCTTTGTCTTCTTCACGGCTCCGGCGAAGAGCTTTTATCTCCGGTGAACCTGTACAATCAACAATGGCGAAACCAAAAGGGTATCTTCCATAATCATCAAATTTGACATAAGTTGAGTAAATACGTGATGAATACTACAAATGGAAACTTTTTGGCAAATTTAGAAGACCAAAAGTCACTATTTTGATCATTAAAATCTTGAAAAACCTTAAACACCTAATAAGCTGTGCCACCATTCCTGAATAGCTTCGTTGATAAGATTAGATGGAACCCCATGATTGAATTACGAGCTATGTCCACCATCTTACTGAGGAAATGCCTGACTCAGGGCAATTCGTTTGTTTGATCCAAAACTCACTCAGGGAATTCAGGCAAGCATCAAAGGTATGCTTCCTTACTTGTATCCAACATGAAGAATCGAAATCTATTACCAAGAAGTTATGTGATACTGCTTAATGGTTGACCTGAATTGTGAATCTTTATATTCGAATGTGTTACTTATGATTTGGTGAAGTTACGAGAATTGTATTACTTGATGTTATCGCAATTAGCAGAGTATGTATGTGAAATATTGAATTGGTTTGTTAACGTATTGCATTCGATGTTCTTGAAAACGTTGAGTAATTGTTCCCCGAACGTGGATGTTAGGATAGCGCATTGAGTGGAGTTGTGAATTTTGTTGGGTGTTTATTGAGCCTGAGTGATCGGGAAAAGTTTCAGGACTTGTTGACATTGATGATGAAGAAGTTGACTGAGGCGTTGAACAATGGTCAAGAGGCTACGACTCCTGAAGCATTGGAATTGTTGATTGAATTAGCAGAGACCGATCTGAGCTTCTTCAGGAAGCAGATAGTGGATGTACTGGGTGCAATGTTGCAGATAGCTGAGGCGGATAGGATAGTTTAGAAGAAGGGACAAGACATTTAAAAATTGAGTTTGTGATTACTTTAGCTGAGTCTAGGGAAAGAGCACTAGGGATGATAAGGAAGTTGCCACAATTTATCAATAGGTTGTTTGGTGTTTTGTTGAAGATGTTGCTTGATATTGATGATGAAGTTGTTTGGCACAGAGCTGAGGTTGAGCATGAGGCTGCAGGGTAAACAAGTAATTATGGTGTTGGTCAGGAGTGTTTGGATAGATTGTCTAATGCATTGGGTGATAATACTATTGTTCCTATCACCTCTGAGCAGTTTACTGCATACATGGCTGTCCCTGAGTGGAAGAAGCACCATGCCGCACTCATTGCATTTGCTCAGATTGCAAAAGGTTGCTCAAAGGTACAAATCAAATTACGCCTATAGAGTTTGCACTACATGTTTTTAAATAAGCTTTTATATCTAACATGTATTCTCACTTTTATTTACTCTTTAATTTGCTCTTTATGTTGATATATTGATTTGACACAACACCAGGTAAGTTTTTGAATTAATTACCAGCAAATACAGTTGAAACACCAATGTTACCAAAATTGAGTGATATTTTTAAATGCTACCAAAAATTGCCCATATTATAAATGGCATGTAAAGATTATATCACACTTTAAACAATCCCTTAACCCTAGGCACTAACGAACAAACCTTGGAGTTGCGGCCGATCTCCCTTCTTCTCCATCCCTTCCCCACTTCCCCCCACCAACACTCACTGTCCAACCACCTTTTCCTCCTCTGTCACCATGGAAGCCAGGGTATATATATGTTTTTTGATTAATTACTATTCTTTTATTAACTTGTCTCTTGGTTATGTACTCATGGAATTGATCATCTATGAGTTTGTGATAGTCACAATCTTTGTTTATACGATTTTTGTTTCTTGACATATACTCTTTTTTTAGTGCATTTGATTTGGTAAAAAGATCCTTGTCTTGTTTTCTGTAATAGGTAATGATTAAAGATTTGGAGCAAGTGGTCAACATGGTTGTGATTTCTTTCCAAGATCGTCATCCTCGAGAGAGATGGGCTTCCGTTAATGCAATTGGCGTATTGGCAACTGAGTTGGGTCCATATTTTCAACTACACTACCACAGCCGGTTGTTGCCAGTGCTTGCAGCAGCTATGGATGATTTCCAAAATCCAGGAAAACAGGTGTGTTCTAGACTTCTAGTGGTATTTGGCACTGTGGTTTTCTGATAATAAATTTTGAAGTAAAGTGCATAAAATAATCCTTAATACATGAGGTCAAAAGGTTTAATTAATAATCTCTAATACACGAGGTCAAAAGGTTTAATCATTGTAACATGGTTTTGCTCCAGAAGTATTTATTTCCTGAAATTTAGTTGCCTGTCATGCCTATCAAAACATTCTTTTCTGATGAAGTAAATAGTTTCATTAACAAGACATCAAGAAGATGCAAAAGTTTCAAAGAAGTTGTGTTAGCTCCAATACATGAGAAAATGCTATGCTAAGATTAGGGCGCGAACAAACTCCAAAAATTCATTGGCGAACACTTATTTGTTTTCATTAAGATTAAGACATTTGAATCTGAGTATTAAGGTGTGCATTAAGAGTTAAATATATGAATTTTAACACATTTGAATATTAAGATGTTATCTGTATACTAAATAATTAAGACTATTTGTTTTTTCTCAACATCTAAATATATAAAATTTGTTTTAAAAATAGTGAATATCGATAAATATTTTAAAGAAATTATATGACAGTTGGAGGTGATGATAGCTAGTGATGGTGGTTGTGGGTGCCAATTGGGAGTTGTGTTGGGTGGTGGTGGTGGTTC